GAAACAACGAGCCAGTGATGAGACTGTTATAATTAGAAAGACGTCTGTACTCTGCTAAGTCCATAATCCAGTTAGCAGACTCCATGGAATCTGCGTTTCACAGGCAGAAAGAACAATCTTAGTCCTCAGAACACAATCTCTGACGAAATTCACATTTTTAAAAAGCAAGATAATGCATACTTTTCTTCTCAAAAGCTCATTATGTTGTTTAAAATGCATAAATATGAATATTAAATCACAAGAACTATGCCAAATAACACCACCAAATTGTCACTGTAGATTTTCTTGCAAGGAACAGAACTAAAAATATACACAAATACACTGAAACCACCCAGGCTATATCGGGTTCTTTTGGAGTTTTTTTTTTTAACTTATTTTATATTTAACCCATATGCATGTCATGTGATTTTCCTTTTTATGGAAATGTAAGCTCTGTTTCAGGCATTTGGAAGAAACTGGGTGTATGACATAAGAGAAAGGAAGCAGTATTTAATAGTTCCATTCTGAATCATACTTGGAAATTACTTAGAAAGTCTTATGGACCAAATCCTTCCAAAAGGAACCCTATTTGTACAGAAAGAAGAGAGTCAGGACTAAATGAAGCAAAATAGTGTCCATGCTTCTTGATATATTTTGAAATATGCATTGACTTTTAGCACCAATGAACACTGAATATTATCACTAAATGACCAAATTATAAAATAGCAGTTTTAACTACTGCTATTTATAACACCTCGCTAAACGTGAAACCCAAGGTGTGGCCGACATTCCAGCAGGAGTGTGAAGAAAGAACTGTCTATTGTGGGGTGAGAGAAGGGAAGGGGAGGTAAATTGGGGCGGGAAACCTTTGTCTATACTCTCAGGATGGAAATGGATGGTCAAAAACAGTCCTGTGGAGAGAGAGAGTGGCCCAGGGATGAGAACCGAGGACGGGAAGAGTCAGGGAGTCAGGCAGGCCTCTTCAACCTCCACTGCCCTTGGCTCCCTGGGGTCTGCCCTGCAGTGTCTGTGCCACTCTGATGAACCAGCTCACCTCTGTCCATTCTGCTTCCTCTGCTTAGCACACTAGGTGTGCCCAGGGCAGCATGCCCGCCCTGCTTCTCCCTCAGCTCCCTGGAGCTAACCAAGGAAGTGGGAGATTGAGGGTCACTTGGGAGATGAACAGGGAATGATAGTTTCTTGTTCATCTCTTTATTCTTGACTGGATGAAGAAATGATCATATAAACCAACTTTTTCAACTTTTTGTTATCTCATGGCACACTTGATCCTATAGTTAAATTTGCACAGCACACTGAAATTATGTTGATTTAATAAAGAGTAGAAAAAAGAATATATTTTCTGTGGGTTTAAACTTCTTTTGAAAATAATTTCATTAATGATCTCTAAAAAAAATTTTTTTTTGTTTTTTTTGTTTTTGAGACAGAGCCTCAAGCTGTCCCCCT